TACCGCGAGCTGGCGGCGGAGGAGCGCGCGGGCGCGGGCGCGGGGCCTCCCGCGGGGGCTGGCAGCGGAGCGTCCAGTGGCGAGGACGAGGACGACTCTGAGGAGGACAAGGAGGGCAGTGGGGATGGCGACTGGCCCAGCCGCGTGAAGTTCTACGGCGAGGGCGTCTCCTGGTCATCCTTCCACAGCTGACCCCGTCCGCAAACGTGAGGGACGGGCGCCCGGGTCACCTGCATCCAAGCAGACTCGGCTGCTCAGGCCCCTAAGACAGTGAGTCCCCGAAGTGCAGAGCACCCCAGGACCCTGCCCAGCGATGACGCCGCCCAGCGGGCAGTGGGGGCAGTGGGCGTGGCCCTTGGGGGCATTGGGCGTGGCCCTTGGGGCGGTGGGCGTGGCCCTTGCTTTCCGACCTTGGCCCCCTCTATTCCACTTCCAGTGATTGTCCTTCCATCTAGCAAATCGAAAAAACACTCAGGCCTCTTGGGAACAAATGCCATTCAACAGCCCTGTGATCTGTAGCCCCGGGCAGCCCCAGGCACCTCTGGGGAACAGAGGGAAGGTGGGACTGGATGAAATATCCCCCTCCCTGAGGCCGTGAACCACAGGCACACCATCGGGAGCCGCTGGCAGTCCTGGGAGGCCTCCAGGGAGCAGAGCTGCCCACCCACCGTGCCGATGCCACCGGCCTGGTCAGCTGGGCCTTGTCAGGCCCAGCATGTGGGCTCGCCCAGAGCCGGGCAAGGCCCTGCCATGCCCTGGGTGCCCACCGGGCCCAGAGCCTCCAGCCTGAGTGTCCTGTGGTCCAGAGCGGCCTGCTAAGACCTCTGGCCCATGTCACCTCTTTCCAGGTGTCAGATACCTGTCTTGGTCCTTATCTCTCCCTGTGGGAAAGCGGTGTTTTCTGTTAGGACTCAGTTTCAGCAAGCGGAAACTATCCAGACGGACCTAGTAATAAAAAGAAAGTTTATCGACGGCTCGGTCGAAGAGTCCGGGTGTTGTTCAGCACCGCCCCATCAGAGGCTAACGCCACGCCGGGGGGCTGTCAACAGCT